AAAAAAAAAAAAAAAAAAAAAAAAAAAAAAAAAAAAAAAAAAAAAAAAAAAAAGCAAGAAGTTAAGCTTCAAAAAGTGGTAATGATTTTTTAAAGAAACTCAAGTAATGAGCAGTATCTTCAAGACACGCTCAGGTGTTGCCACAGGGCGGTGCACGTGCCACGTGCCATTCATCGACACTGGTGAAGGCTCCCTCCACACCACGGGAGAGGAGAAACTTTTGAAGAGAGTATGAAAGATTTATGTACAACTATCATTAATTGTTGACCATGTCTGACTTAATAATGATGTACGAACTAGAACTAGAACTGGCAATTTCTACCCAAAAAAGCCAGAAAAATGCAAAAAGAAAACTAAATAGTTTGTATAATTTTTGTTAGGAAACGGTAAACATTCATTGATATGATGAAAAGGGATACAAAAAGTTCCTATCTAAAACCGATAACAAAATATAGTTTGTAATTGAAAATAAAGAAGAGTCCAGAAATTACTAGCCGCATTTGCAATGACCTGAGAATGTTCAACGACCACCAATTCCAAAACACTCCAATTCTTGAATTTTAAAACCAACTTTAAGTATATATATCTTACCTTTGTAGGAAATCCAGGAGTCAACTGCTGCATGACTTGTTTCTTTATAGGGGCAAGCACCCTAACCGTCTGGAGACCTTCTGAACGCCTACGCAAATATTAAACCGAACGCGATGATATATATCGATAGATAGATAGATGAAAAAGAATCAGAAAGTGATGATTCTGAAATTATAATGAAGTCAAAGTACTAATTTGATAAATCAATTTCTAATATAGCCTATGCAAGTTCAAACAAAACATCTTTTTCCAGCAAAATACCTTAAATTCCAGATAAAACAAGCACCACTTTAATAAGATTCATCAACTTATGAAGTACTTTACCATATATAGTCAACAGTGCCCAGAAAACACCTATTGTAACTAGTCGCCAGGGGTTCGCCATTCAAGTCTCTGGTCCCGGAAAAGTCCTGCAAATATGCCATACTACAGAATCACGGAAGTGTTTCCAAAGAATACATTTAGGAAAAAGAAAAAGAATCATATCAAGTGGTTGTCAACATTTGCATTGGAGGAAAAGAAATATATTAATAGAATCTTCTACCTCAACTTCTGTATATGTGCTTCTAAGCTTTAGAGGGTGTTCGATTAAGGGACAGTCTGCATTGCCAGTTGCAGTTTCTATTTCCATGGGAGTCCATGATGAGCGATCATAAATAATATTTTCAACCTCAAAAGGCTTAGTATTCAAGCCTGGTAACAAAGCATCTTCAACTCCAGTGTGTGAATGGCCAATGGATTGATGAATCTCGGAAGAAAAGGGATCGTCAACATCATGCAGAGCTGAGAGAAACGTACGATCATCCTCAGTTAAGCCTCCATCTAACGTGGCTACATCCTGCTCATCTGCGACTAAAACCTTAGGTCTCTCATCCACTGCTGCTGAGTGAATACTGAGCGAAGACAATGATGGGCCAGCTTCACTATTTCTAGCACTGTCAGCCATGGAGTTTTGGCGAGTAGATGTAAGAGGAGCATTCTTTGTGTCCAATAAATTTGTCGGTGAATCAAGTTGTGCATCATCTAAGATAATATTATCGACACTGTTTTTTCTTTCCTTGTGAAAATTGTGGTCCATATCAAAACCATCCGTAGAAGATTTATGGTTAAAACGAGAGGTATGAACATTCTCCATCTGTTGTTTCTCAGTTACATTCAGATGAAGTTCTTCAAGGTCAGTTCCTAAAGAAGAGTCTAAGTCGCCGACTTTTTCACTGGTATGATCAACAGTAAACTCATCTTTAGGACATGTGATTGAACTTTCGTTGAAGCTGTCTATCTTTTCGCAGCCAGCTACATTTTTGTGGTCAAAAGAAGTACTATTCTGACTTTCCTTTTTCCCTTCAGAATGAAGAGTAATACCCTTCATTCCAAGTTGGGGATCGTTACAAGAATTATCAGATGCATCAAAGACACTGCAATTACTACCAGAGGGCAAAGAGAGGTTCACCGGTGGAAGATGTGGAAGATCTTGTTTCTGTGTGTCAGATACTGAACTATCTGGCTTCCTTTCAATATCTCTAGATTCTGACCTCAATTGGAGAGGAACTGAAACATTGACAGTCTGAAGCCTGCACATTTGACAAGGTTTTAGTTTGATTTGTGCATAATCCACCTATCTTTACGACGGTTGCATTGCAGACTATCAGCCAGAGCAAAAATTACCGAGGATTATGATAGAGTGGTGAAGGTTGATGAATCTCAGCAGAAGCTTGACCTGAAACCTTGTCTCTGTCCAATCCAGACAAATCCAACTGTAATAGAGTGAAAATACATTGATTATAGGATTTCTGCCAGACATCTTGACTATTAACATGGAGACAGCCCTTTAAAAAGTTTTACCTTTTGTTCCGTAATGAAGTTATATAATGCACTCTGCAATTAAAAAAATATATTATTACTGTAATCGTATTAAAGAAAATTAAAATTAAAGACATCAAAAGATCAAACTGCATCACACATTTACTTCAAGGGACTAATAAGAATGCGTAACAAGATAACCTTTGGTGTACAGTTAAAATCCCCGCAGAGAACAATTGGAGCATTGTTCCAGAGTTTTGAAATGGAATCGGCCTTCTCCAAGAGAACCCTGACCTGTTTACAAGTAACATAAAAGCTAAGCTTACAAAAGCAATCATGAAAAGATTTGTAACTTGACATGATAGCTATACAGAGGGCCTAATGCATGCCCCCATACATCTTCACTGGAGCTTTAGAATTGCATTATGAGGAAAACTTTTACAGCATAATGCTGACTTGCAGTATCAAGGACTAATAAGAAGCAGAAACTGTACTGATCTATCTACTCTATCTGCTGAAGAGAATAGAACCTGAGAATCAGATAATACCTGGCCAAGCTTGATTTCTCCTCTTTTAGGGTTGTACAGGACATGTATATTACATATTACAACTTTATTGAGATTTGATACGCTGCAAAGATGAAGGAGAAGAAAAAAGAACAAATATTAAGGGAGCTCTAAATTAATTCTAAAGGAAAAATCATGAAATGAAAGATCAAATGTTTAATTAACCTAAATAATTAATACCATTGTTCATGAAGCTTCCTCAAGACTAATTAACTTAAGACAGCAAAGAGAGCTTAATAGCAAAAGATAACTCCTAATTTACCTAACTGGTGGAGTAACTGAATTGTCAGCATTATCCTGACTCTGCTGTTCAACAAAAAATACTACTGAGCAACAAATTATTAAATGCAAGTGATAATCAATAAAAAACGGTCAATGAATTTAAATTAAAATAGATACATACACATAAACTCATGGTTGAATTGATATGAAACAAGACATCTCAATCATACAAGGTGGACTTCATTTAGTCTTAGATGGTTACAAATTTTGGGTGGATCATTATCTAGACTTATGGTGTTTTATTAATGTATTTCATAAGTTTTTATTTACTTTAAGGTTACATAGTGGTTAACTATGGTCATAAAATATGAACATTACTAACTCTTGAAAGGTCTAGTGTTTTTGTAAAGAAGACTTGGAAAATGTAACAAATAGAGTATTTGTGCTTTCTTTTAGCTAAGGGCTAAGTTTCTTTGCAATTCTTTGTAGTTTAGATTGCATGTTTAGAATCATTCAAGCATGACATGATCGATTCTGCTTGTGAGTGATTCATATATCAAACAAGTGTTCTTGCCTTGAGATATTTGATCAACAAGATAATTTGAATCTCATTTTTTCTTGGGGTGATTCCTCGTTTTAAGGTTCTTGGATATATTTAGATCAAAAAGTCTTATTCTTAAATAAGGTTGTTAGATCAAATTCCAAAGAGTTGCAGTCATTTGGAATGAAATCAACTTGCTTTTAGGGTTTTAGCATTTGCGAACCAGGGGTTTGCATATTCAAAGCGTTTAGGCTAGCATTACCATATCAGTAGGCATCAACATGTCTAAATTAGGATGGATGTGTGCTTCGGATATATTTAATACAAACTAGATCACACAACACAACCAAATTTTTTACACTAGATGAAGCAAGCAGAATATGATGTACACCTCAAGAACACATATCTGGGCAACATTGTCCCGAAGTCCAAGTTTATTGAACTCAATATACTCCTCGTGAAGAAGCTTGAACCTATGAACAAAGTCAAAATATCAAATTTCAGAACATTTCAACAGAACTTCGTAATGTGTATCGGAAATTTTATCCTTCAATTGCAACTTTTTATGTGCTTCATTGTTACTTACATTTTTCTTCCTCCTTTATGGAGTTTGTAATTTTCGAGATTTAGTCTCTTTTCATTATATCAAGGAAAAGTTTTGTTCTTGTTCAAAAAACAAACTAAAATAATTACATTATTTCGAGATGACATCTGAACAGAATCCTAATCATGACAGAGTTACCTGTATCAGTTTACAGCAAATGACAGCTACAAAATTTCCCAGTACCCATTTCATAAAGCAATACGAGGAATCTTAACAACTTGACAGTCAGTTCAAAAAATCTAGTGCGTGCATAACAACACAAACCATGAATTGAAATCCTAAATTATATGATATTAATTAAAACGAATGCAGTAAGGTTGTATCACATCTAATCAAAATAAGGGCTCCATACAAGTATCCGACACTTCTGCATCTTAACAGGATGATGTTAAAATTCTTTCTAACTACTGCCTTAATAACCTGTCCCCCTGCTTTTGAGACTAAATAAGCTAAATACTGCATACAACAAAAGGTTCATAAATAATTATTAATGAATCTCAATACCTTGATACTCGCCAAAAGATTGCACAACCATCAACTGGAGTTCCAGTACGCATCTACACCTTAATCAATATATAATCAGACTCTCAACAAGAACCTTAGAACTATTTCAATCAAATAATCAGGCAAGAGCCAAATTTTCAGAGAATTTAACGTTTCTATTGTGATCATCATTCCATTATATTAAAATTTAATATTTGACTTGCACTTATGCTGCAAATTAAAATATTCATTACACACAACTAAAACTGTTCCTCCATCTAAAAAGAATTTTAAAAATTAAAATGGGATGGGGACCTTCTGTTTTATTTTCTCAGACATATTTGTTACAATAAATAATTACTAGTGATAAAGATATTATACCATCCATTACTATGATACTTTGAGATCTTAACTGACCAACAATGGGGAGCAACTATGTTCATTCATAATTGACTGCTGGAAAATCAAAAAAAGATGGCAAATCAAAGGTTCTTTCTGAAAAAGAATGCTTGACCAAGATAATCCTACTGTAAACTAACAACTATGTGCACCAAGAAATAACAATTTTGAAATTACAATCTCATCTCGTGTAACTACCAAATGCAGAAAAATTTTGTTGTTTGGAGTAGATAATACACAACCAAATAATGGGTTTTAATTGGCAACAATATATTGAAATCAAGAAAAGGTTTGAACATGCTCAACACAATTTCCAGTCAAAAAGACCTCTAGCACATTCCAAGCCTACCTTCCAAATTCCACTGAACCCACGAAGTTTCAATGCTTCCTCTAAGTCAGGGAATCTATCAACCTCCTGGGGAAAATTTTTGTACACAGCGTGCCCATATATGAGTAAATTAAAGGTAAAATGGTATTAAAATAAAAATAGAAATGTAAAATTCCTCGTCAACACCAATGCACAATTACATGCACATGCCACTATATAAAGAACTTAATGCATGTTTAACATGCCTGGACTTTAGACAAAAAAATCAGAAACGTCAATAAATTGATTGCTAACAAAATAAATAAAGTAGATCAAATCAAATAACCCAAAGTTGTAACAGGTATATACAAAAGATTGAAATATGCCCAAAATCATGTTTTTTACTATGTTCCAACATTTTACAAAAATGAATGGAGAGCCTCTCGAGGATTCAAAATTTAGAATACCAATCATGACAACTTTGAAATTTCAATTTCTTCCAATGATCTTTCAAGCCATACACTAAAGTATCATCAGGTTGCATGAATAGCATGAGGCATAAAACTCATGTTGGAATCTTTGAATAATCGCATACCAAACAAGTGAAAAAAAATCCTCCTTAATATTATGCCCTGCCGCTAAAAGAGTTCCAGGAACATTAATCAGTTCACTAATAAGTTTGAGCTCTCTCTTCCTCATACACCAATTCTTTTGATTGCTACGTCAAATTGTTGAAGACACTAATGCAAAGCATACGGGCAGAAAAGGATATCCTTACAATCCATGTCAAACCACTGACTGCAAATACAGAAATCTTAACGTTATTTTCAGTTTCAATATTGACAGTGTTTTTATCACATGGAATTTAGTCTATCTTTTCCTTCTCTTTCAAGCAATAAAAATTCAAAAAACAGGGTTTGCGAAGTTTGAACTTCAAATGAAATTAAGAAAAAATTAGTGTCCTAAAGAATGTGCCCAGTCACAACACTTGTAGACAAGGTACCTGGCATATTTGAAACCATAACTGTATGTCAAGTGAAGGCATAATATACATCTACCATTACCTGAAAGCACATTATGTCAGTAGACCATATTCCAAGCTCAAACAATATATTATTTTTCCTCCACTCCCAATCCAACATGTAATGGGGAATATGATGGTAGAGCTTTTGCTTGTGGTCCATGGCAAGGTAATCCGCTAAGATGTTGTATGAAAGAATTGTAAACCTCTCTGTACAACACCAAAACAAAAACAAGTAAATAATTGTAGCAGAATAATTTGGGTCTTCCCCATCAGGTCAATGATTCTATAGCATGGGCATTCATTCTATTGCATGGACAAAGCAAACAGTCAATGGGATAATTGTTGGAGATACTTTTTGAAGATACGGCTTATCAGAACAGGATTATTTGAGTGGCGGAGTGAGTTTTTGGTGGTCTGGTATATCATTAATTTTCTGGGCTTCTGCTAAAGCATCCCAGATAAGACCCTTTTTTTAAAAGAAAAATCCTTTCTTCCTTCCCCGTCCCCAATCAATGCTAGTCAGGGACCGTATTCATAGTTTCTTTTGGCAATGCGGGAGGATGCCTAATCATCATCCTACCCTCTATCCCTCCAAATTATTTTTCCTAAGAAAAAGAAAGAATAAATTATCTAAAATTATTCGAATAATTTGCAAGGTAAATTTCTCTAATTATTTGATGCATGCATAAGACGTCAATAAAATCATCTTAAACGTCAAATTTCGCGAAATAAACTGTCGGTAGATAAAGTGAGTGCCAACTCCTTACAAATGGTATTGGAACCTCCTAAAAAGATGTCTAAATCATCCATTGTTCAGGGTTCAGAAGATGCAGCTGAAGACTTACAATGAACCGAACATACTCATAGACTTGCACTAAAAAAGGAACGACTTCTTTATCTTTTAAATCAAGCGAACAAATCCAATTATATACTCCGATTCACACGTCAAACCTATCAAACTTCAAAAAATTAATCTGAATTTCTACTCTTCAACCGTTAAAGTGAACTACTGGTATGTAAGTGTCCAACACTCGGAGTGTTTTAGTCTCCCCATCCTTATGGTAACTACTGAACTCCAGTAAAGAACTTACTGAAAATTTTGAAAACTAAAAGAAGCGTCAAGTTCCTTTTACGTATTCAACAGATGGAAGAAAAAGCAAATTACCGCAAGTAGCTGGAGGAGGTGTCCTTGCATAATCCCAATGGCGGAAATCTGACGGCTTCGGAGGTCGAGGTCGAAATTGCTGCGGCGTACGAACACCTTGATTTTGATTAAAAGGCGGTGGCTGCTGGTTGTAAGTGTGAGGATAAGGTCCCCGATACTGGTGCCTTTGAGTGTGAGCTGGAGCCTGTCGGAATTGGTGATTTCCACCAAAAGACGGAGGTCTAGGATTCTGAGGTGCAGCATACGATCCCGCATTGTTCACAAAGCCTCCTCTCTCTCCTTGACGGAACCCTAGGTTGGACTCCCGAACAGACTGGAAATGAGAATCACCGGTGACGAATTGACCTCTACCGCCAGAATATGGCCGTTCCGACGAGAATCCTCTGCCGCGTCCGGACCGGCCACGTCGGTACTGCAAACCGGAAAAATGAAGTTACCGTTCAACATAGAAAAGAATAGATCCTTCTAAAATGACTAACAACGGGAAGCTGTAACATACAGGAGGACGAGAAGACATGGCAGCAGATGTGTCAGCGGTGGAGACGGCGGCGGACAGTTGATGGAGCGGAGGAGGAGGAGTAGCAGCGCGCCTCATTGAATGGCGGGAGAGAATGTGAAGACTCGGGGACGAATCTTTCACTTTTAACTATTTCCTACGCTCAAAGGCAAACATTTTAAACCATAGCCAATTATAACTGCGTATTCTATATGATCCAAATGGACGGTAGAGATTTGATCGTGTAGAGTCCCGTGGAACTGCAAATTACGACTCTCGCTTTTTCAGCCGTTTGATCTAATCGTATTAATCAGCATTTTCATGGGTTCGATCAAAATTCACGCATCTCCCATAGCAAAATATATGTTAAATTACCATTGTAGGCTTACCATTTGAAATCTATTTTAAAATTGTTATAATTTTTTTATGATTAAATTAACAAAAAAATATCTTTAAATTTTACTATATAACTTTTAAATATTGAATTTAAAAAAATTAAAAATATCCTTAAATTTTTTATAAAAAAACTCTGTTAATTTTCTATGAAAAATGGTTAATATTTTATTTGAAACGGTTACTCAATTTTAAAAATGGTTTTAAAATACCCTTTAACATTTTAAAATGTTTTAAAATACCATTAAACTTTTAAATACTTTATTAATGTCTTTAAATCTTTTAAATATTTCAAAAATATTAGTACTCACGTTTTTAAAATATTTATAAACTTTAAAAAATATATTAATACTCTTAAATTTAAAAAAGAAATGTTTAAAATATTTTGACGGAGGAAGATAATTTTTTTAAACTTAATGTTATTTTTAGAAATTTAAGTGGTTTTTTAAACATGGTACTTATTTAAGGTATTTTTTAAATTGTAAAAAATGTCAAAAGGTATTAATAAAATTCTTTAATATTTATTTTATTAAACATTTTTTTTAAAAAATAAGCTACTAATGTTTTTCATAAAAAAAAAAAAAAAAAAAATTGAAGTATAAATTTTAGATATTTATATTAATTTATAAAAAAAAATACACATACAATAACGCTTATAATGAGTATAAATTCTATAAATCCGAATAAATGGTATGTATTTAAATGGAAGATAATTCAAACATAAATGAGTAGATAAATGATACCTCGATAAACATAGAATTAAAAAATAAAATAAAATGGATAAGATACGCAAGACACCAAAAACATTTCGCAATCCCGCAATTTTATATTTATTATAATAATTTGGACCAAATAAAAAGATTAATATTTTAATTTAATCAAAATAAAAATAAAAAAAACAAATCAAAATCGGCGCCTCACCTCCCAAACGCCAATCTATCATCAGCTATCGATTTCATCAGAGACGAAGGAGAAGAAGGAAAGGAAGGGAAATAATCTTCTCCGGCGAGAGGATGTCATGTTGTTCGTCCTTATCAGCGGCTCCTACATCCATGTCTTTGATTTCAAAGCGCAAATTCACGAGATCCGTTAATAAACATGTGATCGTTTCCATGAATTCTCGCTTCAGAGCTTCTGCAGAAGTTCCTGATTTTCTTCCTGCCGATTGGTACGCACACAAACTTCGAGAATTCCGATTTTCGCTGATTCGTTTTTAGTTTTCGAGTTTTTGCGTAGAATTAATCGAGTATAGATTTGATTCCTAGAGGAATGGGAGAATGATTTTGTTCATTTTGAATTATGAATCGATGTATTTAAGATTTTCAATTCACTTCGTGTTTTTATCCAGAAATATGGCGCGACTGTGTTTCCAATGACCTTGAAATTATTGAGTTCAACAAATTGGATGTTTGGTTTCCATGAGGCTCTCTTTTGGCTATTGTGGAAAATTCCTTATTTCTGTATTGTTCGCTGATGTTGAAGTTTCTAGGAAATGTTTGCTTAGGAATCAAATTCCTTATCCATTAGATTGTGCATGATAAGTCGATGAGTTTGGCGGTGTTGGAATTCATATTCCTGCTTTATTTTATCCTTTCATTCTCACAGCCAAACAGTTCCATGAAACTATGTGCGACTTTGGTAGATTTGTGATAGAATCTATTTGTAACAACTCAAGCCTACCACTAACCACAGATATTGTTCTCTTTGGGTTTTCCTTTTCAGACTTTCTCTCAAAGTTTTTAATTTTTAAAGGCATCGGTTAGAGAGAGATTTCCACACTCTCATAAAAAATGTTTCGTTTTCCTTCCCGACCGATGTGGGATCTCGAAATCCACACCCCTTCGTGGCCTAGTGTTCTTTCTGGCACTCATTCTCATCCCATTCTTTCATGGCCCAGCCCACCCCCCTTAGGGGTTTTGCCTCCTCATTAACACATCACCCGATCTTTGGCTCTGACACCATTTGTAAAGCCGAAGCTCCCCGCTAATAGATATTGTCCTATTTGGGTTTTTTCTTTCGGGCTTCTTCTCAAAGTTTTTAAAATGCGTCTGCTAGGGAGAGGTTTCCACACCCTTATAAAAAATGTTTCATTCTCCTCTCCAATCAAGGTGGGATCTCATAGATTCTATTACTGAAATATTTGTTTGGTGAACAAGTTTTTAATATACTATTTCATGTTACAAACTCGTTTCATTCTCCTCCCCAACCGATATGGGATTCCACCACATACATATTCAAATTGTTTTCAAATTTCTGTTTCTTGATCACCCTAAATATTTTACTCTCTTTGGCAGGCATCAAGCACACAAGAAGAATCCTCTAGGCCCAAGTTTACATGTAACTGTTCACCTATGCAAGTTAGTACTAGATATTGTAATTGTTTCTCTGTCAATATCTTTATCTTGAAACTTCCTATATAGTTCACTGCAGAGGAAGCTATTCAACGCCAGCTAGATGCACTGAGGTACAATGATCGACCCCATCAAGATTATGGAATTGAGGTCATGTACCAGGTAGTGTGCATTGTAAAGGGTCTTCATTTCTTCATATTCATTGCTTGTGTAATGACACAGTGGCCTATAAACTAAACATCTCTCAATAAACGACAGTTTGCTGGGTTCAATCCTCTTCAAAGGTCGACATATTTCGGTCCCTTCTTCGATTTGGGACAGGTATAGTGTGAAACTTCAACAATTTATATGAGCAATACTGTATCTGCTCATTCTTTTCTTGATTTGATGCATTTTTTGACAGTGCAGTTTGAAAGATTCAGACGGGTATTCCACCATTCGACGTATCGTGTATTGCTCGGCCATAAAGAGAGAAAGATCTTGAGCAGTTTGATTGTAGAGGAGGTAAAGCAGCCTCCATATTGAGCTTGATTGACTCCTATATCAAGTAGCTAACTTTTGAGTACTTTCTTTGCCAGTAAATTTATGTACTGTAAAATAATATCTTGTGGATTTACAAACTCGGAAACAGAATCGATTCAAGCAGCGGGTATGGATACGAGGTTGTCGCCCGAAGGAAGAAGAAATATTTCAATTCACTATGGTTCAGGTTAGGCTATGTCATTTTGAATTTGTTGTGATCGTTAGTAGTCTGCACAGAATGTTATATCACTATACTTTATGCTAACGGAATTCATATTATCACTAGATTGATAATTTCTAAAACTTATTGGCAGAGGGTTGGCGGCTCGTGGGATGGGTATTGGCTTACAGAAAGTGTGCTTAACGATGGAGATGCATTTAGTGGAGGCTTAGCCTACTAAGGAAAAGGATGCTTTGCTCAAATTGGGTGACTGGTTAGTAAACTTAGCATAATGTTGTTCAATTTGTATATTTGAAATGTATATCATAGGTCTGTATTATAATTTGAACCCTTGTAAGATCATAGAACTTAGAATTTGTATATATTATTTACATGGTTTCGTTCTACCTTTGACAGTCTATGTTCGTGTGCATGTGATTAGGGTGTTCTTGTACTAGTTGGGTTGGTCGAGTTTTTAACACTCCCATAAACAAATACGAAGGAATACAAAACAACCTTTTCAGTTGAAATGTTTATATAAAACTTAATTACGTTAGATTTTCAATTTTGTGATTATTAAGTTGGGGAACTGTATCGAATAAGTTCAAACCCTATTGAAAGTTTTGGCATAAATTTAAAAATTGAAGAACCTATTGAATACTTTTTGACACTTTTAAAGTACAAAAATTAAATATAAACACTAAACCTGAAATGTCAGAAATTAAACTTGAAATTTAACCTTATAAAAAGGAACGGGTCGTGAGCAAAATGATATTTTGCAACAAAAAATACACCATCACACAGCGACATTCTTATGTAAAGGAAATAGAGCTTCATTTGGTGGAGCCTTCACCAAATATATTCGACATTATTCCAGCAGTTCAAATTTCCACTGCCTTAGATATACAAGAATGGCAATGCCATCACATCATATGGCAACCTAGAGACCAAAAAAAATGACACCAAGCACTTGTGAAGTTCTTACCTGGTTTATAACAGCCAAGCTTTTACATATACAGTCAATTGGTAATCAAAAAATAACTTTAACACTCGAGAAAGTGAACCACAAATCCTCAAGTTCAGAACCAACCAATTACCAGAGTTAAACTGCCTTTGCAGGCCATGTAGCTTGAGCAGACATTATTATTCCTACAATTACACCAAATAACCCGAGTGCGCTTCCAAAGATCTCGATCACAAGAATCTTTACAAAAAGGGATGAGTTTTGGGCATCAGACAATGCACAACTGCTTCCAATAACCCCTACGCATAACCTATACCAAAAAAAGATATCTTCAGATTAAAATTTCAGTTGGTATGTTTTTCGTTCTATAAAAGAGGTCATGAACTTAAAAAATATCTTTAATAGGTCTTGAACTTTCGATTTTAGGTCTCAGGTCTCATAGGTAACTGATATGTTCAGCAAAAACCAGTTAATCTATCGGATATAAAATTTTGAATTTTATGTCTAAAAGAACTCTAAACTTCCAATTATTGAAATGCAAAATTGGAAATTCAAGATCCTATTAAGCATAAAATTTATATTTTAAGAACTTAGTACACGTTTTATAAAAATCATGATCTGTTAGACACTTGTTCAAGAACAAATAGACTATGAATCTGAATATTTAGGTATACGTTTTATAAAAATCATGAAAAATCATGATCTGTTAAGACACTTGTTCAAGAACAAATAGACTATCAATCCCAATATTTTGAATTAAATTTGTAATTTAACTAAAATTTATTTTAGTAGGAAGGCACAAACCCGCAAACCAGGTTGGCGAAGCCCACAATAATTCCAGAGGCAAAAATTGAATATCCTGCTCTTAGAGACTCTGGAGCATATATTTTAGATGCTGGAACACTCTCCAGTTTTGTCTGTAGGATGATGGCCACAATGACACCATATATGGCCACGGCTTCACAGAAAATTACGCTGAAATAAAACGAAGAATCATTCATAATGACAGTCCAGACTTCAAGGTAAACACCAGATACTTGTTAACCAAACGTTAATACTGATCCTATGGATGCTGAAGAAATTTAATATACTGCACCGATAGAAAAGTAGCCATTCATCAGTTGTTGATCGCCGTCAAAACACCGTGAATAAACCACATGATATATCATAAAATCCCCAGCAATGGAAAAGAGGTCTGAATTATATCCAAATTCTACAGCCTAGACAGAACAATCTCCTAATACTTTCTATGACTAAGCTTAAACAACAATTGATCAATCGGTCACCACGAATCAATTGCTAACCTCGCCGTAATTACAGTTCGATCTTCCCCAACGAAGCCAAAAAAAACAACTCTATGAAGACTGAAGATCAATACTGAGAAATTCATGCATACTCTAACTCGACAGACTACAGACATCTAAGGAAATGTTAAATCGAGTTCAGAAGAATCCAAACAGGACCTCTTACCTAATTAGATTCTTCGAGGTAATACGCGGAGCTTTAATTGCAGCACCGATCAAACTGCTTCCGGTTATGTAGATCCCCCTGAGATAACAGCAATCCGCAATTAGAGAAAGAAAGCGCCGCAACAATGAAAGATAGAGCTCCGGTCAGAGCTCGACAAAGAGTAACCCTAGCATGGAAGATAAAACGAAAACTGAGCTTGAAGAAGGATAAAATGGAATACCAGGCAGCTCCGAGGACGGAGATGCCGATGGCTATGGCAATGCCGACGGCGGAGAAGGTGTAGGGAGAGATTCTGACGAGCGCGTGTGACCAAGAGCGTAGATCTCCCGCCATATTCGAGTAGGACATTGTGGATCGTTGTTTCTGGTGAATGAGGGAAGGGAATTGTTCTGCTTCGTCGTTGTCTTTTTTATTCTTGATGAATGATTCCCCAGCACTGCTGGACGTGATTCGTTGGGTTTATATTCGGGTTCATTTTTATTTTTTAAGATTAAATTATATATATTTATATATAATTAACTTGTTTCATATTTATTCAGAAAATATTTCTATTAATTCAAAAATTACTACATTGTTTTGGGCTTGCATAAACATTTTAAAACTAACTACTTTTCCTCTAATATTCTAACATTTTTTATTAAAATAATTTTTTAAACTTTCATAAAATATTAAGGATTATATTTAATATAAATACTTCAAAAATAAATTGCAAAATTCAACTATATAAATAAATGTTTATTTTATTTAAATGATTAATTTCTAATAAGAAATTTATATTTAAAGAAAGTTTTAGAATTTACTTAATAAAAATAAAATAGTAGTTTTAAAAGAGAATTACAACGAGAAATTAGCTTTTAATATATGAGTAATATTACTCTTTTAATGGTCATTTTCGTATAAATAATAAACAAATGGCAAAAATACTAAAATGGCCATTACCAAAAAAATTGATTAAAATAATAAATTTAATTCTATATAAAAAATATATGCTCCACCCTACCGTCAAGCGTTTGTAGTCCAACGGTTAGGATAATTGCCTTCCAAGCAATAGACCCGGGTTCGACTCCCGGCAAACGCAAAATTGAAGCATGCTTTTTCAAATTTACCCTAATTTATATTTAATTAAATCTCTTATATGGATAGATCACCAATTTAATTAGGGACCAAATTTGTTTTTAGCTAACGTAATTTTTTTAGTATAAATTAAAATACTACAAATTTGAAAATATAAAATTTTTAGAAATGAAGAAATGTTATTTAACCCTTTTTTTCTTAATTTATTATTATTATTTTTTTTTTACACATTTTACATTTTAATTAATTTATATTTGAAATTCCCAAGTTGTTTGGAACGGTCAACGGCTATATGTTCGCGCGTGTTTTTGGCGCGTTAATGTGATTTTGTCTATACAAAGAAGGAAAGTTCCGAAACGCGCGGTAATTGGCATTGACGGAGAGCCTATGAATGATCATCTTTCCCCGTTTTCGAAGCCCTAGAAAGATACCCATTTCTCGTTTCTCCTTTCTTCTCCATTTTCATCTGGCTTCCTCCTCCTCCTCCTCCTGTTCCTGAAATTCTCATCTCAAAATGTGATTCCGATTGGACTATGTTTCTTCACGCTTCGATTCCAATTTGTTTCGATTTTGAATCTGGATTTTCAGGTCTGGAGCCATTGAAGAGGAAGCCAGATCGAACACTCGAGGATCTTCCTTTCATTTCTTGCGAATCTCGTAAATGGCGTTTTGAAACGTGTTGAGAATTCCATTTTTTTTTTTTAACTTGAGCGTTAATTCTTGCTTTTCTCTGGCTTTCTGTGGTTTATAATCTCTTGATTTATATTTTATATTACGCGAATTTGAAATTCCAACGATAAGAAACAGAGAAAGGAAGAAGGAAGGAGGAGAACGGTTTTGATTTGTGAGTGATTTCAATGGGGAAGCCAACGGGAAAGAAGAAGGAAAATGTCGGGGATAAGCCTGGAAATGCTAATTCTAAGCCTCCCCGGCCTTCCGATCGGAACTCGAAAGCGTTTGATGAAGATACGGCCATCTTCATTAACATGTCCCAAGAACTCAAGGAGGAAGGCAAGCGGCTATTCCAGAAGCGAGATCACGAAGGCGCCTTGTTGAAATACGAGAAAGCTTTAAAGCTTCTGCCGAGGAATCACATTGATGTTGCTCATCTCCATATCAACATGGCTTCCTGTTATATGCAATTAGGGATGGGCGGGTATCCACAGGCAATTAACGAGTGCAATTTGGCGTTGGAGGCTCATCCGAGGTACACCAAGGCGCTGCTGAAGAGAGCGAGATGTTACGAGGCATTGAATTGGTTCGATTTGGCATTGAAAGACCTGAGTACTGTTTTGAGCTTAGAGACTAATAATCTCTCTGCGATGGAGATTTTGGATAGTGTCAAGAACACAATGAGAGAAAAGGGTGTCAATATCGACGAGAAAGAACTCGGTTTAACAACTCTAAAGCTGCCTCCTGCAGCACGTTTTCGTAAGATTGTCAAGGAGAAACTAAGGAAGAAGAAGAATAAGAAAGTCGAGGAGAAGGCTGATCAGGTGCCTCAGGTTAATCAGGTGCCTCAGGTGCCTCAGGTTAATCAGGTGCCTCAGGTGCCTCAGGTTAATCAGGTGCCTCAGGTGCCTCAGGTGCCTCAGGTTAATCAGGTGCCTCAGGTGCCTCAGGTTAATCAGGTGCCTCAGGTGCCTCAGGTTGATCAGGTGCCTCAGGTTGATCAGGTGCCTCAGGTTGATCAGGTTGAAGATAAGGAAGTTACAACGGTTGAGGAAGATAAATTGTTCGTCGAACCGGCCAAGGAAAAGCCAGTCTCGAAGACGGTGAAGCTAGTATTTGGAGAAGACATAAGATGGGCGGAATTACCTACAAATTGCAGCATTAAATTGGCGAGCAAGATAGTTCGAGACAGATTTCACAGCTTAAGGGGTGTTCTTGTGAAGTACAGAGATCAAGAGGGCGATTTGATTACAATCACTACAACCAAAGAGTTAAGGGCAGTTGAAGCATCTAGTCACTTACAGGGTTCTCTTAGACTGTACATCACAGAGGTCAGCCCTGATCAGGAACCAATCTACAAGGAAACCGAAAACCATGAGGCGCTTACAGAGCTTGATAAAAGAACAACTACGGTCGAGGACTGGATAATCCAGTTTGCACGATTGTTCAAGAACCAAGTCGGAGTTGATTCTGATTCTTACTTGAATCTTCATGAGCTTGGAATGAAACTGTATTCAGAAGCAATGGAGGACACCGTAACCGGTGAGAGTGCTCAAGAGCTTTTCAACATTGCAGCTGACAAGTTTCAAGAAATGGCAGCTCTGGCATTGTTCAACTGGGGGAACATTCACATGTCCAGAGCAAGGAAGCAGCTGTTCTTCCCAGAAGACGGTTCAAGAGAAGTTTTACTTCTTAGGATTAAGGATGCATATGAGTGGGCAGAAAAAGAATACAAGAAGGCCGAAATTCGATACGAAGAAGCTCTAAATGTAAAGCCTGACTTCTATGAAAGCTTCCTTGCACTTGGGCAGCAGCAGTTTGAGCAAGCTAAGCTTTGCTGGTATTATGCAATGGCGAGCAGAAGCAAAATCGATTTAGAGTCGAGCTTTTCCTCGGAGGTCTTGCAGCTTTATAACAAGGCGGAAGACAGCATGGAGAAGGGCATGATGATGTGGGAAGAAATGGAGGAGCAGCGCCTGAATGGACTCTCCAAAAGTGAAAAATACAAATCTGAGTTGGGAAAGATGGGATTGGAAAGACTGTATAGTGAGATACCTGCTGATGAAGCTGCAGAATTGGCTTCAAACATGAGATCACAGATATATCTTTTATGGGGCACCATACTGTATGAGCGCTCTGTTGTGGAATATAAACTTGAGCTACCAACCTGGGAGGAATGCTTGGAGGTGTCGGTCGATAAGTTCGACCTCGCCGGTGCTTCCCAGACAGATATTGCAGTTATGATAAAGAATCATTGTTCCAATGAAACTGCACAGGAAGGTAAAGTACAAGGAGACCACCTTTAATCTTTGTTCATAATACTTTTGTGTTGTTAATAGAGCATTTTATTGTTTTGAGCTTGCAGGTTTCGGTTTCGGTTTCAAAATCGACGAGATCGTACAGGCATGGAATGAAATGTATGATGCTAAAAGGTGGCAGTTTGGTGTTCCATCTTTTCGCCTCGAGCCTTTGTTTCGACGCCGGGTTCCAAAACTTCACTCCACTTTGGAGCATTTTTGAGTGTTTTGTTGTTGATGGGAGATGTTTTGAGGCATTCAAGTAGTATTTCAGCTTTGATTGCTTCAATTTTCTGGTGTTTCCTTCCCACGGACAGAAGGTAAAAGAACCTCTACTGTCCTTGATTATCTCATTTACAAGCTTCCATGTTCCATTTCTTTTCAACTCTTGAGTTATCCTGATAGCATGTTCACCTCGCTTTTAGCAAAGAATACTTAGATTTGATAGATGTTGAACAATAATCCATGTGTGAGATCCCACATCGGTCGGAAAGGGAAATGAAACATTTCTTATAAGGGTGTAGAAAACTCTCCCTAGTAGAACGTTTTAAAAACTTTGGTTGGAGATGCGTTTTAAAAACCTTGGGAGGAAATCCGAAAGGGAAGACTAAAGAGGACAATATCTGGTAGTGGTAGGCTTTGGCTATTACAAATGGTATTAGCCAAACACCTATCGCTAGACCCCCGCATTCCTTATAAGAAATAGTGTGGAAACCTCTCCCTAGCATTTTAAAAACCTTGATGGAAACCCAAAAACGACAATATCTGTAGGGTTGGGCTGTTACAAATGGTAACAGAGTCGGACACCGGGCAGTGTGCCATAGAGGACGCTGCCCCTCCCCATTCCTCATGAGGGCATGGAAGCCTCTCCCTAATAGACTGCGTTTTAAAAACATAGCAGCAATTTCCATTCTTGGTCTCTGTCACGTTTGAGCTCTTATAATCTGATTGATTTAAATCCGATCTCGGAGACACTCTCTTGGCTTCTCCAAAACACGATCCTTGCAACTTTCAGTATACATGTCGGGTTTTCAGTCTCGGATTCGAAATTTCCGATACAATTTCTTGCGATAAACTTAGCATCCCTGTTACATGTTTCACATCTTTATCTGCCAAATGTGTAAAACATTGCATGGATTATTATTGATATAAGCTAGGGATGTTGTGTTCTTTGTGTGGTTGCAGATGTTTCAAATCGTGGTTTGGTTGTTCATAGTAATATTCCTTCATTCAAGACAAGATTGGCGATCCAGCAACAAAGGTTTTTTAGGGCGGAGGAGGAAATTCTATAATTAATTCATTCTTTAACGATATTGAATAAACAAAATCTGTTTGTGAAATTTGAAAAGCAGATTGTTTTGGAATGAATTATAAAGCAACACCAAATTATGTGCTCTCTTTGTGCTTTTTAATATTTTGATATTTTGGCCAAATTAATAAAAATAAAATATCTTTAAATTTTATATTTTTGCCTTAAAATGTATAGTTTCTTTTAAAATTTAAGCATTCATTTTCTTGACGAAAAATTTTAATTTAGTGGGCCCCACATTCAATATTTGTCAAAAATAAGAGAATCAAACACGTGTCATAGTGTTGGCGGGAAGCCAAATAGCACTTCGCTGGTTTTATACGCTATAAATAGAATCAGCCATCAACTTTCTCCCTCTGTTCTCTCTCTCTCTCTCGGATTTTGGATCAAAATGACTTCCTCGGATCCTCCTCCTCAATGTATCTTCATCGACGACGGCTGAGAAATGCCTTAGCGCTTCTTCTTCTTCTTCTTCGTGTACATTGCTGGTAGCGCTTCTTGATCTCTGTAACTACTGACTCAATGTGATTTTATATTTAGGGTTTCGTTTTCGGAATATCGAAAAATTTGTTGTGTTTTACGTCTAATGCTTCTTCTTCTCTACTTTTGGTTTCTTGAGCTTGAATCGGTAGGTTTTGCTTTACTTTTGAGGTAGAAATTATACGAGTGATGGATTACAACTGGCATTGCTTATCTCCAGGCATTGTAATCGTCTACAATGTTGATGTTCCTCTACGGCGACGGACTTTTCGGCATTGAAAACAGGTTTGCGTTTGGCTTAATCTTTTTTTCCTTGCTATTTACGGCCTCTGTTTTCGTCTTCTTGATTCGTACTGGCGTTCAAAATCGATGATCCTGTAGTCTGGAACCTGCGTTGTTGAGAATGTTGAATTGTTCGGCTCCGTCGTATTTGTTTTTAGGATAACATGTTTTAGTTATCGGATTGAGTAAGTAGCTTTTTGTGCTGGTAAATTAGTTGCGGCGCAGTAGCCTGAACACATCTATTGATTATGCTGAATTGTTCGGCTCCGTCGTCGTATTTGTTTTATGATAATGTGTTTTTGTTATCGTATTGAATAAGTAGCGTTTTGTACTGGTAAATTAGTTGCGGTGCAGTAGCCTGAACACATCTATTGATTATGCTGAACTGTTCGGCTCCGTCGTCGTATTTGTTTTATGATAATGTGTTTTTGTTATCGTATTGAAGAAGTAGCGTTTCGTTCGCATGAATTTTGTTCTGGTAAATTAGTTGCGGCACTGGAGCCTCGATGCCTGTATTGCTCTGTCTTCTTTACGTTCAATTAACATGCAATTAGCTCGCTGCCTGTAAGCATTGTATTGATGGTTGGGACGTAGCATCTTTTGTTGACATTTATGCATATCGTATTACAGTCATGGGTGAAATTTTGTCGCGTAGTCGCATAAGCATAGTAAATTGACATAAGATATGAAGCATGTTTTCTTTTGACATTATGTTAAAAAGTAATAAATTCAATTAATAAGTTAAGGTGAATTTAATCTTTATAATATATTCTTGACCACTCATATTTTGTATTCATGCATAAATGAAATGTTGTTCATGTTTTTGAATTATTGCAGCAGTGTTTGGCTGAAAGCTCTCTAGTTTTCTCTTGCATAATTTCTGTTCTTGATTTTTTTTTTTTTTTTTTTGGTCTCAAATCTTTTGGTATTTTGAAGGCACTCTTAAGAGAGTTTGATTCATGCATATTAAAAACAAGATGTTCTACAGCATTCATTTATTTTAACTAGTGTATTCCTGGATTGAGATTTAGACATTTTTAGGCCTAATTCAATTAGTTGAAATGTAAATTTTTTCAACCAAATTAATATGATGGATTGTTTCACATCATTTATTTAAATTTTTGTTTTCAATAAAAATAAAATTTAGGGTGCAAACATTGAATTATGATTTATGATTTGAAACTCAATTACCAAATATGTTTTTAAAAATTACATTTAGTTTAGAATTGTATGAAGATGGGACGTAAACATATTAGACTGCATATCCAGATTCTGTTTTTTTTTTTTTTTTCCTTCCCTAAAAAGAAATTGATTCAAGAAAGAACTATTATTTGCTACTCCTTGAGGAACTTAGAGAATAAAATGTCAGATGTTTTACTTTTTCTTGATTTGTATTTCAATTCAGTGTCGAAAATGTACAATTTTCTATTTTTTTGGAGTTGCAGAAAAAGGAACGAGGATGTGGAATGTTGTTCGGTGAAGGTCGTTGTGTGATTCCTAAACCTAAACCTAAGCCTATATTTGATGATGCTCAAGCAATCATGTAAGGTATGTTTTCATAACGTATCCATAATAATATAAGATCAGTATCAGATTCAATTTATACACGGTCATTCTTAGCTCTAGACATAGTTCATTTTAAAATCTTTTTTACGCTCTTTACTATAATTTTTAAATTTTTTTCGTTTTTGTTCCAAAATTTTCTTTTAGAAAAAAAAAACGTGCTAGTGAATTTTGGAATACTGAATCTTAACTCTTAATAAAGTTTTGTCAAGTCGAAGATATTATCGCTACATTTTAAATCCCTTCTTATATTTTTGTAATGTACAATTGCTCTTTACTAATTCCCTAGTTTTCATTGATAAATATTCTCCTCATTTGTATCATTATATTTGTTAATCTGCAAAATATTAAAAATCTTTGTTAAGGAGGATGATAAAATTTATAAATATATAAGATTGAAAATTATAAAACGAAAAAGGTTACATTACAAATTTACAAATTTTGTTTTAGTGATGTGAAGAAAGTTAAAATTTAATCTTTATTATTGATAAAAGTATGTGACCATGGATAATATTTATGAAGATAAAAAAAATAACATTTTTTCCAAACCACAGAGATCCTCAAATTGTGAAAACAAAAATAGACAACTTAATGTTTGCAAGTTTCAAACAACCTAAATAGGATAGCTTTTCTTTCTTTTTCTTGTTGTAAAAATAAAGCTAATTTGAAAAATACTGTTGAAACTATAGTAGTATTCTAATTTTTTTTTTTTTTTTTAAAAAAAGAGTTCGTTTACCCGTAAATTTATAATCTTCTATAATGTTTGCAAGTTTCAAACAACCTAAATAGGATAGCTTTTCTTTCTTTTTCTTGATGTAAAAATAAAGCTAATTCGAAAAATACTATTGAAATTATAGTAGTATTCTAACTTTTTTGTTTAAAAAAAAAAAAAGAAGAGTTCGTTTACCCGTGAATTTGTAATCTTCTATAAAAAAAATCTCTTTCTTTTACGTGCTACTTCAAATCTCACATCTCAACATTTCTTTTGATTCGTACTTAATTATGTGTAAACTTCTAATTTCAAGAAGACTAGTTAAAGGGCTGATTTCTTGAATGAATTATAGTAAGCAGTAACAGGTTTTTCCGTGGAGGGAGTAATCGTTGCCAATAATCGCATGATTAACGGAACCTGCCAATGACCTTTTTTTTAACACGCCGCAAATCTACCGCTCCATCGAGAATATGCTGAAATTGAACTTTTACAAGAGTGGGTTGACCATGTATTTTAAAAAGATAATGTCAAGCTCTTAACTAAATTATAAGAAAAAGGCAAATAAATAATAAGTTTTTAATAATTTTTATTACTTTCATACCCATTGAATTTTAAGCTTTTGATTAGTCCCTACTAAAATATTTTATAGTTTTATAAAATGAGCAATTCCATTAAATTTTGTATTGAATAAATTATGAACTTTTAAATGATTAGAAATAATCTTAAAAGTTGAAAGAAACCTCAGATATTTTTAAAATTTCAAAAACTATTTTTTTAAATTCATGAACCAATTAAAATTTGAAAGTTTTAAACTTCTCAGCACATGCAGGAGAACATTGTAATTTTAATCGGTACCTGTTGGGACGGTGAAGATTCTTGACAAGAGTCGGCATAACTTACGGAAAGATTTGTCGGCGTAATTAGGACTGATTAGAAGAGAGTTCTATCAAATATTAAGGCACATATGCTGACAACAGATGGGTCATTGGCATCCTCTACAACCATGATAAACAGTTTAAATTAAGGCAAGACTTTTTCAAAAACATAGATGAGGAATATTTGCAAAATATCTTAAAGAGAATATACAACAATTTAATAAGGATATTATCTCTACAATTATGCAGTCGGCTAACGGTCAATAAACTGTAATTGAATTATCATCTCCACACTAAAGATAAGCAGTCGGCAGTACATTATAATTGAAAGGATTATAAGCTCAGATGTTCAATTTCAAATGCCATTCTATATAAAATTCTAACCAATTGCTTAAGCACGTAAAGGCACTGATAACTTTTTATTTTTTTTATTTTTAGTAATCTATTAGGATCTACGATCTTCTATAAGAAATTACTCAAATAAAGCAGGCAACATAACGTATTATCTTTAAACATGGAGGCATTAATTAAAGGTACTAATTCAACATGCAGGTGAAGGCAATAATCAAGAAAGATACCAGTCGAATTTGGCAACTGCTGCCAAAAGGCTAACAAAAGATGATTCGCCACATAGATGCTCAGCTAGTTCCTTATAGAAAAGTATACAAGTATCTTATTACGAAATTGATAGGGCAGTGATGAATCAATAATAAATAGAATTTGGTACTACTCTTTTATAGATGAATACCTTCAGAAGCCAAGACGATGGATCCAAATGTCGTCAATCAAGCCACCATATGCTTGTGATCAATTTATAAGGCATTTCCAATTCACAACCTGCAGACAAGACCCAAATGCTCAATGATTAAGAATTCCAGCATGGGGCAAAAGTACTAAAAATGTAGAATGTTTCAGTGTATGTCGAAGAAGAGTACAGAAGGTCATTTGTATAAATGAATTCGAGTTTGCAATTACTTACAGCTGCAAGATCTCTAGAAGAAACATAAGTTTTACATCCTTCAACATTCATTGTTATTTGACATAGCATGGGAAGCAAGAAGCGATCAGAGTTGAAGGGGCTGTCGTTTGGAAATAAATTGAAAAACAGAGAAACAAAACCTCAGGTATTTCAGAAATATGTGATAAACACCAGATTGTCAGTAAGTGAAAGCTGACAAACCTCTGTTCATCTTCACTTTCTACAGAGAGCATATAGTCTAAGAGTTGCTTCACTTTTTCTGTCCATGCATCGGGGGTTTGCGCAAGATAGCTGGAATAAAAGAGAAAATAATGTCAACTTGAGGTAATGTGAGATCACACATCGGTTAGAGAGGAGAACGAAACATTTTTCATAAGGGTGTGGAAGACTCTCCCTAGCAAACACGTTTTAAAAACCTAAAGGGAAATCCTAAAAAGAACAATATCTGCTACCAGTGAGCTTGAGCTGTTATAGGTAATCTAAGTGAAGATAGAAGTCTTCGGAGAGACCAAACAATAAACGATCTACCGGATCAGAAATGAGAGTACTCTAGACTGTCAACCACTATATGGGCATGAAGGAGCAGGATTAAAACACCTCACAGACATTAAACTAACTGAATGGAGAAAATTCATATTTGATATATTTCGATCGTCTTTGGTAGCTGATTATCATTCTTTGCTTTCTAGAGAAAACTACTTCAAGATTGCTTAATATCCAACTTGACAAAACCTAGCTTCACTAAAAAATAATCTAAAATTGAAAGCTGTAAAATTTTAACCAAATATACAACAAAACAGCCCACTTATATGGTTGGTTGGGTTAAGTCATCAATTTCCTTAATTTGTTTATCAGCATAATTAATTAATTATCCAAGTGATTCCATCAAGTTAGCTAAATCAAATGGCAATAAACCTACAAGTAAACATAGAGTTCATGCTAATAAATGAAACTCGACCTACTAAATAGTTGACATCAAATTAGTTATGCACCTTGATCTTCACGAACATTTGATATCGACTTAATTATCTTTTCCACCAAAAAGAAGGCAGTAGCCACATTCCGCTTCTTTAAGATAACACTCTCCTTCAAGGAGAAATTCTTTCAAGCATCATATTTCATATAGGCCAGTTCATTCAGCACCATACCGATCTCAGCTCTTGACTTCTCCAAGACAAATATTAGACATCTGAGAATATACATGAGAAGTTAATAAAGCAACATTACTGGTAGCAATCACTGAATACCTGTCGGATGGAATAGGATCTCGAACATCAGGTAATTCAATTTCGCCTATCAGCCAAACTTCTCCTAGAATAGATACCATAGACAGCCAAACTAAGAGCCTGAAGAAAATGCGTGAAGGATAGCTGAAATTCCATCACGCATATGTTTGGACCAAACATTGGAGGGCACTAGACACAAAAGACATTTTAACGTGGTGTCTGAAACATATAACACATCAGCCAAACAATAACAATCTGTAATTATGAAAAAACCAAGAACTAACATGGCAGAAAATTCTGCAATTAGTGAAAGAAAATTAAAACCAAAAAGAATGTCCAACTGGATAAATCAACCTACAATTGATGCATTAGTCAAGAAACTACGCAAGTAATCTTTACTGTTAGCACCATTAATTTCAACTTCCAGATTTATATAGAATCGAGACTCCAACAACAGAAGTAGTTGATACAAGATATAAAAATTCAAAACACTCCTCCAAAACGGAAGATCCTGACCTAGATGAACAATAAAAGCAACATCGATTAAGGAGGCCAGAAAAGAAAGCATAATGCATATAACTCTCTGGAAAATCCTATCCACGATTTAATCAATTATTTCCTAATGTTAAGAACCTCAATCACCAGAGCAGAAGTGAATTCATGATTAATTCGGGACAATGAAGTAAATAACTATCTTGCAAATCTGATGTCGTGCCTTATGATCAATCTAATGCATTTCCTCAACAGAACATCAATAGTCAAAGGAATAAGGAGGATAACTCATTGTTCTGTTTATCGTCAATAATCAACTGACTGATGTAGAAATGCAACCAAGAGAAAGTATACGGATAGCCGACGCATTGGCTGGATTAGGCCTCTAGTATCAGCGGAATCTTCGAGACGATCTCCAGAAAACTCAGGAACATGAAAAAACGCAGCCAAGCCAAAATCCTAACATACAGCTACAAATACACATCGCAATTCTCCTCTCCAGGTCAACTAATAATTCCTTACCAATGCCTAGAAGTTTTAAACGCTATTTTGAGAACATATATGTGCAAGTTTACCGCGGATACCAAAGTGTTAAGGAACATACCAGTCCTGAGAAGCCGATCAAGAAACTTCGCTCCAACAGCATAGTAAACTCTAGTAAGCGAGGCACGATCGTCCACCTCGCAAATTTTAGTGACTAAGAAAAGGCCAGCGAGACGCTGCTCGTCCTTCAAGAGCTTCAAAGAATCTTCTATGGATTCCGACCGTGTTTGCTCCTGCTGTAACTCCTACGAAATAGTAAAACAAGAACAAATGTGCGTACAGTGAGAATACTGAGAAATGCAATACTGAGTTCGTGAAAAAAAAGAGAGGAAGACATTCACCATGAAAGCAGAGAACTCGAGACTGGAGAATGAACTTGAGAATTCAAATGGAGAAGAGTATTCAAGCGGTAACCTCGTTCCTTCGTCTTCGCTGCTTCTCTTTGATGTTATGGTTTACGAGAGGTCTCCCGCCTCCGATTCCAAAGCCCGGGAAATTGCAGAATGACGCAGGACCATCTATTTATAGTTGAGCCGGCCCATTATCTACTTTCGTGATTTATCTGGGCCGAACCATAACCGTACTTCGACCGGGGATCGGAATTACATAAGGGTATAATTGTAAAATCGCTATTTTCTTTTCATTTAATTTTAGCATGCAACCACAAAGTGTATATTTTTCATTTTAGATTTAGAAGTTAAAAATATCAAGTATTGCTATTTTCTATGCTTAATTATATTAAATATTGACATTTATTTTTTTTAAAGAAAAAAATAATTGAGGTATTTACTCTAATTACACATTTTTATCATACGTGACTATGACCTATGTTTTCTGTCACGGCCGTATGACAACCCTAGATGAATTCATTAAATTTGAGGGCAATTTTGGTATTTTTCACCTTTAAATGCAACGAGGGTAAATATCAGAGATGATTCCCGTCCATCACTTTAACAAAAATCATTTACCGACTTATATGTTTTTAAAATCGAATTAAAATTATAAAAGTGACTCCTATCAAAATCACTTCCAAACATATAAAACCCTACTTAAAGACTCGACCACGTCAGCTAAAATACTCGTTTAAACTATCGATCGAGATTACACAAACGAATACGTAAGTTTGAATAGCTTCCAACTCATTTTCCCTAATATTTTAAAGCTCAGCCTAATAAGTAAAGAAATATGCTTGTTGGTTAAGGAGATGGTCGGCAGGTGGTGTTGGTCACGTGCGCTACAAGAAAACAAACAAGAGATAAAAACAAAAGGTGTGACACGCGTCGAGCTCTGATTGGTAGAGGCATTGATGAAAGTCATTGTTGGATTCTATGGCGAGTGGCTGTGGCAGAGATCCCAACGGAAGTGACCACCGCATACATTCATTCAGTAACAAAATAAATAAATAATAATGTTATTTTTTATTTATTTTGTAATGGATGCATTGAATTTGTATAATCTGAATAAAAAAGCTCATGGCTTTTGCTGAATTGGGAGTTGTGTTGGCTGTATCCATTGAAACTAAAGTGAAAATGTTTAGTTAATTGTTGGGATTAAAATAAGATTAGTAATTTTAATTTTAATTGTAATTTTAAATAATTTATATTGTTGATTTGTAACGGCCAGATCCACCGCTAGTTTTAAATCATTGAAGGGAAGCCCGAGAGGGAAAGCTCAAAGAGGACAATATCTACTAGTGATGGATTTAAGTTGTTACAAATGGTATCTAAGCTAGACACTGGACGATGTGTCAGCCTTCTCGCTGTTCTCCAAAGGGGAGTAGACATGAGACTGTGTGCCAATAAGGACGATGGGCCCCAAACGGGGTGGATTTGGTGGCAATCCCACATCAATTGAAGAAATGAACGAGTGTCAGCGATGACACTGGGCCTTGAAGAGAAGTGGATTGTGATGTCCCACATTGATTGGGGAGGAGAACAAAACACCTTTTAAAGGCTGTGGAAACCTTCCCCTAGCAAACGCGTTTTAAAGCCTTAAGGAGAAGCTCATAGAGGACAATATCTAGTGGTGAATTTGGGTCGTTACATGATTAATTAAAAAAAATGAGCATGATGGTAAGTGAGTAATAGACAAAAGAAAAATAGTCTAAGTCTGCTTTAGCCCGTTACGTATTGTCGTCAGCCTCACGGTTTTAAAACGCGTCTACTAGGAAGAGGTTTCTACACCCTTAAGGGTCCAATGTCCTCGCTGACACACCATTCGGTGTCTGTCTAAGTCCGCTTTAGCCCGTTACGTATCGTCGTCAGCCTCACGATTTTAAAACGCGTCTATTAGGAAGAGGTTTCCACATCCTTAAGGGTCCAATGTCCTCGCTGACACATCATTCGATGTCTAACTCTAATACCATTTATAACATCTCAAACCTAGGGAGAGGTTTATACACTCTCAAGGGCCAGCGTCCTCGCTCACACACCACTGGCCCGTTACGTATCGTCGTTAGCCTAACGATTTTAAAACGCGTCTATTAGGAAGAGGTTTCCACACCCTTAAGGGTCGAATGTCCTCGCTGACACATCATTTGATGTCTAACTCTAATACCATTTATAACATCCCAAACCTAGGGAGAGGTTTATACACTCTCAAAGGCCAGCGTCCTCGCTCACACACCACTGGCTCTAATACTATTTGTAACATACCAAATTCATCGCTAACAGATATTTTTCACTTTGACCCGTTATGTATCGCTATCAACTTCACCATTTTAAAACGCGTCTACTATGAATAAATTTTCACACTATTATAACTAATATTTTGTTCCCTTCTCTGAAGAAGGGATCTCACAATTACATCCTCTACTAAAAATATTATTTATAAGAGTCTCGGACAATAAATAATAAAAAATAATAATATAAAATTGAAATAAATATACTCGTAACAATAAATAAAAAGTTAAATATAACCCAAATTAGTTTTTTAAAATGGATGAATTTAAGTAAGTACATAAAATTTTAATTGAAAAACTAAATTAGAGAAAAGGCATTATGCTTTACCCGGTTTGACAGCCAAACTGCCGCAAATTTCTCCTCTTTTAGTCTCATCCATCTCTATATATTTCTTCCATTTCTCTCTCCCACTTCCATCACTTCATTGTTCATTTCTCTCTCTAGAACAATCAAGAAGTTCCAGAGCACAGCCATTTTCATCTTTCATGATGTTGAACGAGTACCATCCATTTTCATTTACTCGCAAGCTCAAATCCTCAATCCGCTGTTTCCGTCGCGATCATAGCGATTTCTTTGAAAGCGAAGACGATTCTTCACCAAGAACCCCTAGATCGCCGCTGAAATCAATGGCTGCAGAGTTCCCGGAGATTCGAGGAATGTGCAGGAATCTCGTCGCTCGGATCGGCAGGTGTCGCCGCCGGTACCATCACTCCGCCGATTTCCGATACGATCCTTCTAGCTATGCGCTTAATTTCGAGGACGAACAGGTTCGGGATGATGATGAGTTTCCGATTAGGGATTTCGCTTCGAGATTGCCGGCGTCTCCGCCGACTTCCCGGAGACTTTCGCCCGCGAAATGAGGACCGCTAATTAGCATTACCACCACCGCCGCCTGTATATCTCATGATATTTTGAAACGATGGGGACGGGAATCTCCTTTGATTGTAACTCTATAATACTAAAGCCTTGTAATTTAATTTTTTAGTTTAGAGAATTTGAATTTTCGGATTCTTACTCGAAAATACATACTTTCAATAAAATATAAAATTAGTTTTTATGGCCAATTTATTATTAATTTTTTTTAGAGAAAAATTGGTATACTTTATCTAAAATAAAATTGTTTAAATTAATCATTTATTCGATTTTTTTTAATATAATAATTTATTAATATATAAAATATCTATTTACTTAAGATTAAAATTTTAATTTCAATATATATTTTTTTAAAGTTGCATTCAAATTTTAACCAATAAATAAATAATATATATATATATATATATATATAAAATATACACTATCATAAACAAAAAAAATAAAAATAAAAATAAATAAATCAAAATAAATCAACCTAACTCACTCAATCTTCATTTATTTGAATCTAATAAATAAGTTGGATGGTTGAGTTAGTTTGGGTTATTTATATATTTATTCAATTTTTTTAATAAAAAATAAAATATTAATATGTAAAATAATACAAGAAATACTCCTTTCCCTAACAATGATGTAGGATCTCACAATCCACCCTTTAACAACTTAGCATCCCTGCTAGCACATCGTCCGATGCGATACCAGTTGTACCAATCAAAACCCACTGTTACTAGGATATTATCTGTTTTAGCTCCTTACGTGTCCTCACTGTTTTAAAACGCGTCAGTTAGGGAAGATGTTTCTACACCCCTATAAGAAATGTTCGTTCCCCTCTCCAACCGATGTGAGATCCCACCGTTTCATTCAACTCAAACTAACTTTTAAGAAAATCATAAACCAATCTAACTCGTCAAATTTTCATTTGTTTGAATCTAACCCAAACCAACTCAAGTTTATAACCCAACTCAAACAGTACGAATGGGTTGGATTCGTCTATGATACCCTTTATATTAAACTTTAGCACATATTATACCGTAAGGAAGAATGCGAGATTATTAAAACTGCACACATGTAACCCCCCTCACCTTTTTTATACACATACATGAAGAAGATAAACAAAAATCATAACTCCAATCCATGTGGAGTATCCAATTCATTTCCATTAATATACTCCTAAATATCAACTTCTAAGTACCTTTTTTTTGCCTGTCACACGGCATATATTTCTCCGTCCCCATTCTCGTCCTGTTTTAGTTCCATCTCGAACTTCTTCGGTCAAAGCGATAACTATGTTCGTTTTGCAAGCTATAAATGAATATAACTCCAACAATTAGTATGGGGTGGGTTCATATGCTGCAGCTACAAGAGTTTGTTGGCTGTTGAACCAAAGTCATTTGAAACAGTTGCTGCTGTTTTCACCTGCATTACTTCTTTCAAATTAAGGTTGGTGCAAGTTACACATGAGTTAATAAAAAAAATTAAAAAAAAAACTCAAATTCTTGTAAAAGTTGTGATCATAGGCGTTTTAAAACTAGAAATTAAATGAAAAATTGACGTAGTGTTGACTAGAACGCTATTTAGATAGGATGATTTTTTATACTCTTAAGGGTAGTTTTTTAAATGTGTATGTGAGATCCTACATGGGTTGCAGAGGGGGAATATAAAAGTGTGGAAACCTCCTTAGTGGACATGTTTTAAAATTTTGAAGGAATCCTAGAAGAAAAAGCCCAAATATGACAATATATGCTAGCTAGTGGTGGGCTTGAGCTATTACAAATGGTATCAGAACCAGACACCGGACACTATGTCATCGAGAATGCTGAGCTCCCAAGGGAGGTGAACTCCCTAGTATACACGTTTTAAAATTTTTGGGGGAAGTGTATACGCGTTTTAAAACCTTGGAAGAAGCCCACAAGGGAAAGCACAAAAATGACAATACATGCTAGCAGTAGACTCAGAAGAAATTAAAGCTTTGAGAAGGGAAGCCCAGAAGTGAAAGCTCAAAGATGACTATCTGCTAGAGGTGGGCTTGAGCTGTTACAAATGGTCTCAGAGACAGACACCAAGCACTATGCTATCGAGAACGCTGGGCTCCCAAGGGGATGGATCTCCCTAGTATACACGTTTTAAAACTTTGGGGGAAGTGTATACGCATTTTAAAACCATGGAGGAAGCACAAAGAACTAGCGGTGAGCTCGTAGTAAACTTAAGCTGTTACCGTATGTTACCGTATATAAAGGGTCGGGAAAAAGATATATACCTTTTGCGTTTGCTTTTCAAGTTTGTAGAACTCGAAGGATTGCTATGCCAGTTTCGCTTCCTCTGGTTAATGAACCAATTGTTTATCTGTTTTAATTGCAGACCAGTTTCTTGCACCAACCTTGCCTTATCTTCCTCCTAATAAGGCCAGAAAATCAACCATTAATGTTCCAAACACATTAAAATTTTGTAAATGAGCCCAACTTACAGTAGGATAAGGCCACTTTGAATGTGATTGCCACCATTGTTTTAGAACAGAGGTGGTATCACCAGGGAGCTTTCCAGCTCTCCTTTTTCTCAGAATTTCTTCCCTTATATCCACAATTTTCTCCTTGTAACCCTGTCGGGAAAAGGGTCAGAAACAGAACATGTTTTAAAAGAAAAACATTAATGTAATATAAAACATTCATTACCGCTTTTAATTCATGCTTCAGTTCTTGTCTGACCCTTTCCATCAAGGACCTCTCAGTTTCTGTGGGAATAAGAGGCCCAAATCCCATGGTGTCAGGACAATCTAAACTCGCTTCGAACAAATTTGAATCGCTATCGACTTGATCGTCGTCGTCATCCGACATTGTCGCTCCCGTGCCTTCGCCGGGTGAAACTCCTAATGTAGCGAAAACAATATGACTTTGCTGTTAATATGATTGCTAGGTAAAACACCATGCTCAAAACAAAACAGGTGGTTCCTTGGTCACGACTAGCGAGAGCTAAAGTTTCATTAAAGAGCGCTTTCACGGAGCTAAGGATTACAACTATGAGATCCTACATCGAGTGGAGAGAGGAACGAGTGCTAGCGAGAATGCTGGCATTGAATAGAGGTGGATTGTGAGATCTCACATCGGTTGAAGAGAGGAACGAGTGCCAGCGAGAACGCTGGTCCATGAAAGGGGTGGATTGTGAGATCCCATATCAGTTGGAGAGAAGAACGAGTGCTAGTAAGAATGCTGGACCTTGGAGGGGATAAATTGTGAGATCTCACATCAGTGGGAGAGAGGAACAAGTGTCAGCGAGGCGCTGGTCCATGAAAGGGGGTGGATCGTGAGATCCCAAATCGGTTGGAGAGAGGAACGAGTGCCAACAAAGATAATGGCTCTGGTCCATGAAAGGGGGTGGATCGTGAGATCCCAAATCGAGTGGAGAGAGGAACGAGTGCTAGCGAGAATGCTGGCATTGAATAGAGGTGGATTGTGAGATCTCACATCGGTTGAAGAGAGGAACGAGTGCCAGCGAGAACGCTGGTCCATGAAAGGGGTGGATTGTGAGATCCCATATCAGTTGGAGAGAAGAACGAGTGCTAGTAAGAATGCTGGACCTTGGAGGGGATAAATTGTGAGATCTCACATCAGTGGGAGAGAGGAACAAGTGTCAGCGAGGCGCTGGTCCATGAAAGGGGGTGGATCGTGAGATCCCAAATCGGTTGGAGAGAGGAACGAGTGCGAGGCGCTGGTCCATGAAAGGGGGTGGATCGTGAGATCCCAAATCGGTTGGAGAGAGGAACGAGTGCCAACAAAGATAATGGCTCTGGTCCATGAAAGGGGGTGGATCGTGAGATCCCAAATCGAGTGGAGAGAGGAACGAGTGCTAGCGAGAATGCTGGCATTGAATAGAGGTGGATTGTGAGATCTCACATCGGTTGAAGAGAGGAACGAGTGCCAGCGAGAACGCTGGTCCATGAAAGGGGGTGGATCGTGAGATCCCAAATCGGTTGGAGAGAGGAACGAGTGCTAGCGAGAATGCTGGCATTGAATAGAGGTGGATTGTGAGATCTCACATCAGTGGGAGAGAGGAACAAGTGTCAGCGAGGCGCTGGTCCATGAAAGGGGGTGGATCGTGAGATCCCAAATCGGTTGGAGAGAGGAACGAGTGCCAACAAAGATAATGGCTCTGGTCCATGAAAGGGGGTGGATCGTGAGATCCCAAATCGATTGGAGATCGGAACGAGTGTCAACGAGAACGCTAGTCCCCGAAGGGGGTGGAACCTCGAAGGGCATTGGACCTCGAAGGACGATGGGTTACGAGATCTCACATCGGTTGAGGGGGAACGAAGTATTCTTTATAAAAGAGTGGAAACCTTTGCTACTAAACGCATTTTAAGAACCTTGAGAGGAAACCAAAACAAAAAGTACAAAAAGAATAATATCTACTAGTACTAAGCTTATACCTGTTAAGCTTTGTAGCGACTGCTCGATGTCCCAGCAAGCCATTACAGCTTCCATGGCATGGACACGAACATGTTGCTGGAGTTGTTCTTTGAACGAACAAAGCAAAAGAACATAATGCGTCTGCAACACGAGCATAGAAACAAAACAAACCAATCAAACAGCCATTTAAACAACCTCCAAATCTCAGTTATAATCTTCACTCACTCATTTAAGCATCTAAATAAATGTTCATAAATCAATATCAACAATCAGACAGGGCAGCCAATTCTCAGCAGCACTGCAACGACATAAATTTTCTCGACCCAAGCAGCCAGAGAGTACAACTGAAAAAAAAACATGACCAAGCGACAGAACAACCGACACAAAAATAATTTCTGGTTACTGTCTTTACAATTTGGCCATACGTTGTAAAAAGCTTGGTAGCACAATTAAATGGCAGATTCTAGTTATTTATTACCATATCTGCCATACTAATTATGGCAGTCTTCAAGTTGCAAGTGAAATTATGAACCACTAATTTATCCATTAGCAGTTCATCCAGTTCTTCTAGAAATTGAATCAAGCCAGAAATTTAGAACAATTTCTGGTAAAAACAGCAATTCCAATCCAAAAAAATTTGTGAAAAGATTAAATAAGAAGGATTATGAGGGAATATACCATGAATTGATCGAGGTCTTTGTCATCGCCGACCATGAGCGGCGCGGTGTGGCCCAAGGCGGAGTACTTAGCGACAACATTCTGAGACTGAGCGAGCTGCGCGTCAATCCTCGGCAATTGGTCGACGGGCGTGGCGATGCGAAGACAAGCGACATGAGCTGAAAGCAGCTGTTCATAAAGCGGATGAGCAAGAATCTCCGTTTTGTAACGAGCATATTGCCAATTCAAAACCCCTTCTCCACCACCACCGCCGCCGCCAGGTTCTACCGCCATGCCGTCGCTTTTGTTCAATCCATCGCCGCTATTGGCATCGTTAGCGGCACCGATCATATTGTCACCAGCAGCAGCGGCGGCGACATCGTTAATAACATCGCTGTGGTTTCTTTGGAGAATAGGACGAGAGAGCCATTGGTTAGAGGAGTGAGAAACAGTGGAATCGGATGCTGTGGTGTGAAGGTTGAGGAAATTGGTATTGACGGCGGCGGTGGCGGTGGTGGTAGTGTCGGTAGAGTAGTGAGAATGGGGGTTTTGGTTACGGAGAAGTGCGTTGTTCAGCCAATTCGGCGCCGTTTGCGGCGGGTGGTGGTGGTGGTGGTGGGATTTGGGGTCCGGCAGAATGGTACTCAAAGAGGCATCGGAACGTGGTTGATTCTGCGGCGGTTGTTGGTCGGAGAAGTGGAGGGGAAGGTCCTGGGAGAGGGGATTGTGATACGCCATGGAAGAGCAGAGAGAAAAGGAAGGGAATTAAGGTATGAGAAATGGGTGAGTCAGTGGTTATGTAGCGGCCATGGCGGTCGATCCTGTAAAGGAAAAAGGGACATCAAATTCGAGGAACCAAAAAACCTGTAGAAATAAAGGATGAAGAAAGAGAAGATTTACAGTTGATTTTGTTGCAGTAATCAGAAATAATGGAGAGAGAGAGAGAGAGAGGGAAAGGGTTTTCCAATGGTGATTGGAACAGAAGATTGGATAGAAGAGTGAGAAAACGAGAGGAGGTTCTTTCTACCTCTACAAGTCTTCTACTATAAACAAACCAAAAAAAAAAACAAGAACATCGTACCACACAAAAAAAAAAAAAAAAATGATCTTGTCAAGTTATCTATTTGATAATTATATTTAGATTCGAGTATGGAAAGTTTTGGTCTAGAATATAATGTTTGAAAGTAGTTGAATTATGCTCAAATTGATGCTATATTTCACTTAACAATAAGTGGAGGTGAGATTCGAGCAAGCATCTAACATTTTGGTCAATAATCTAACATTTTGATGGATAATTAAGGGTGTGAAAACCTTTTCCTAAAAGACGCGTTTTAAAATTGTGTGGCTGACGGTGATATGTAACAGGCTAAAGCGGACAATATTTGTTTACGTTGGACTTGGATTGTTACTAATGGTATCGAAGATAGACACTGGACGGTGTACCAGCGAGGACATTAGAGCTCTCAAGGGGTGGATTTTGGGATCCCGCCACGGTTGGAGAGGGAAACTAGATATTTCTTATAAGGGTGTAGATACCAAATGTGGTTTAAAACTGTAAGGCTAATAATGATATGTAACGAGCCTTCAATGTTTTGAAGTAGTTGAATTGTGTTCAAGTTGACGTCTTAGTAACTATATTCTTACTTGAGATTAACAAGTGCATGGAAAGATAACCTAGTGCGTGTGGTTGTGCGTGGTATGCATCTCGGTGCCACCGAACAAATCATTATTCTATCTCATTTTGATCTTTCTTTTATAAATATTATTGGATGTCGCTCAAAATAATATTTTAATTAATTATAAATTTTTAATATACCAAAAAAAAGTAGTCGAAAAAAATACTAAATTAATAAAAATATATTTAAACTGCTCCAAAATTTTGAATTTTAAAATTTTTAATAATATTTTTAATTTTAAAAAAATATTAAAAAAAACACCATAAATTTTGAAAAGTGGAAAGGTATATTTAAATTTTTTTTAAAAAATTAGAGGTATTTTGAAGATTATAGCATATATTTAAAAGATTTAATAAATTTTTTAAAAATTCAATGATATTTATTTAAAAACAAAATATTATCGTCTCATTTAAAATTAACTATAAAGGTATTTTTATTTTTTCTAAATTTATGATATTATTCAAAAATTTAAAATTCATAAACATTTTTAAAAATAAAATATAAAATTTATTGATATTTTTATTAATTTAGGGAAGGGAGGTGGATTTAATAATAATTGTAAAATATTGTGCTACGTGTTTTGGAGATACCCAACAGCGGTCTACGCATTAATTAATTATTTTAAATACATTGGAATCTTGTTTTTTTTTCCTTTTATTCCTACTTTATTTAGGTTGGTCCCTCGTTAACGTGTCACGCCAATTAAAACCTATATTTATTCTTTATTTAACATAAAGTCTTATGATCATCAAAATTAAATGTTTTGATTAAAAAGGAACGACTTTTAATTTTTATTACATATTGATGATTATTATATTGTAGAATATATTACACTAAGACATCCTTAAATTAGAATCGTACACAAAACTTTATTTTCGAGCTTATATAAAATTAATCCACCTCATTAAAATTAATCAATAGTTTATAGTTATAGACCTTTTAACGGTTGAACGATGATTGTGATTGATTATACGAGCAGAAGATGGTATGACGTTCAAAGTAATGCTTATATTCCTCTTTTCTTACAACAATTGTGACACCCTACATGTTAGAATTTAGAATATATGAGATCCTCACATCGGTTGAAGAGGAAAAATAAGTATTTTGGTGTCCGACACTAGTTAGAGTAGAGCTAGACCTTCACCCTAGTAGTAGCGTTTTCAAACTGTGAGCCTTACGACTATACGTAACTGATATTTGCTAGTGGTGGGCTTGAGCTGTTACAAATGATATCAAAGTCAAACACCAGACGATGTATCAGCGAGGACGCTTGCTCCCAATGGGGATGGATTGTGAGAGAGCTAGACACTGGGCGGTGTGTCAGTGACGACGTTGGGCCCCCAAAGGGGGATGAAGGTGGATTGTGAGATTACACATCGGTTGGAGAGGGGAATAAACATTTCTTATAATGGGGTAGAAGCCTCTCTCTAGTAGACAAGTTTAAAACTATAAGGCTAACGACGATACGTAATGGGCCAAAGCAGACGATATTTGCTAGTGGTGGGCTTGAGCCGTTACAAATGATATCAGAGCTAGACACCAAGCGATATGCTAGCGAGGACGTTAAGCCCAAAAGGAGGAGGGAGGTAAATTGTGAGATCGCAAATTGGTTGGAAAGGGAAACAAAGGATTCCTTATAAGAGTGTGAAAACCTTTCTCTAGTAGACACGTTTAAAACTACAAGACTAACGACAACACTTAACGGGTCAAAGCACACAATATCTGCTAGTGGTGGAGTTGGGATTTTACACATTCAAATGTGGTATTTGTTTTTTTATTCACACTCCTTTATCGGGATGTCGTAATACATCTAATTCTTGTCGACTGGTACTTAAAAATAAATACGACCAATAGAAATAAATAAGATTATAGAGTAATTAATAAGGTAATCATACTACACGTGAGGAGGTTAAAAACAATTAGTTAAGTGAAAATCATGGCTTAAACATAAAAGTTTGGGATTAAATTAAGTTAATAATGATTAAGAAAAGGCTTTATTAAAAGTAGTTCCCATTCCATTATATAAAGTAGACAGTGTATCTAGGAGGAAGTGGAAGTTCGTTAATGTCCCCCCGAGTTTTGGAGCGTGTTGCCACGTCATCCACTCTGGCGCGAGTGACCGAACTAACCCATTAAAAAATTAAAAAATTACGACCACGTATGCAAAAATATAATTTATTTACCTAATTTTACTTTATCCGTTCCACCTGCCACCGGTTGGGGAAGTAAGAAGTGGCCGGTTTTCGCGATAGATAAAATGACCGGCTGAGCGGTAAAAACTAAAAGAAAAAGGTGTAGGGGACCATTGATTACGTTGGTTATCTCTCCGCTACTCGCGGGATAGCGACTGGTTGACACGCGTCAGGCAGTGGTTGTTTGGACCACATGTGGGGACCGCCAAGGAAAGCACGCTGGAGATAAGCGAATGAGAAGCGGAAACGTGGCGAAAGGAGAACTGGGGACCATAAGGGGGAATTCCTTGATCAATCTGACAGCCGCCGGCTGAAATGAATGCGAACCGTGGAGTGGTCCCCACTTTGGGGTGCTCTCCTCGGGTGGGGCCCATGCGTGGAGATTGGAGGCACAAACAGTAGGTGGGGTCCACTAAATAGGCCTCCTCTGAATAATTTTTTTTTAATAAAAATAAAATAAAAAATAAAGGAAAGTAGTACTGTTTGGTTTTAATGGCGGTCTACGCGAGAAAACCATGGTCCCCTGCTTGGTTTTACCTTACCCCACCCCCCACATCATTGAAATTTTCAACATTAAATTTTAAATTTTGTTTTATTTATTTTTAAACAAAATTTAATTATCATAATTAGTTTTATAATTGGACGAAATTATATTAAATTATGGAATATATAGTTTGATTTTGTCAAACAAACCATATAAGCAAAGTTTGTAATTTAAAGTTTTAATTAAAATACAAATTAAGTTCTAATGATCGTCCAATATAGAATCACGACTCTCTACATTGGTATGATATTGTCCACTTTGAGCATAAGCTCTCATGACTTTGCTTTGGGCTTCCAAATAATATTTCTCACTTATAAATTATAGAGTTATTGAGATTGAGTCAACTGAAGTGACTTTCAATTTTTTTTAAGTCTTTCATAATCATTATATTTTAAAAATAGCTCTTAATTAGTAGTCTTGATTCATTAATGTACCTCTTTTTTACTTGAGTGTCACATTAATTTTTTTTTTATCAACACGAACATATTTCATTAAGTGCAACGTAGGAGTTAAAAACTTGGAGAGCGAGTTAAAATACTATCACAATTTTTACTTTTTTTTTTTCAGAATTCTTATTTTCTTAATGTAAAATAAGCAGTTACTGTAAATGGGGCCTGAAGTTGGTTCACCTCCAGGGCAACCTAGAGAGAGAGGGGGGGAGGGGGGGGGGGGGAAAAATAAGGGAAG